TCACTGCGTCCTCCTTCCTTCACCTTTGAAAGCTGCCGCTCACATTGGCAGCTACAGCTACATCTTGTGGCGAGGAGTTCCCTAGTTGATGTTCTGTCTGAAGAAGTGCTTCTTTTCAGTGGTCCTGAACCTCACACCACTCACTTCGCTTTCTTATACGATGAGTGAGAAAGGGAGAACATAGAAAAACAAAGTGTTGGGCCCTAGCAGGACATTTTGGGAGGGTCAGGGAGAGAAAGAGAGAGAGAGAGCTTGAAAGGGGAGTTGGAAGAAATCCTATCAAGTCCAAACTGAGGGCTCTTCGCTCCCAATCAAACAACTCAAAGTCAGGTTTCCTCCAAAGCCCATGGAACGTGCACAATGTTCTCTCAAACATGCATTCAAAGGAGCTCCTAATGGCAAATCTTAAGACTCATAACAAATTGACCTAAGGAGCAAGGCGCTTCCCTTTGGGTCCTCAGCCCTGCTGACCTGACTTTTCTGCCTAGATTGAAGGAGCAATGCCTTCCAGTTCATTAATTACTAATAATTTGCTTAATCCTGCAGACAGCAGGGGGCATCCTTGCCTGTCCTTCCTCAGCAAGCGCTGGGAGAGTGGAAGAGCCCCATCCATCGCTCAGCAGCCAAAATAAAAAGCGAACTGGATTTGGAGTGAAGTTCTCTTACTAATCTGAGTGAGCAAAGCAGAGCAAAAAGGAAAAAAAAATGAAAAATGAAAAAAAACCACCAGAGACTTTTCTGCCGGGTGTGCAGACATGAGAGAGTGAAGTAGAAGAGGTCATCACTGCCAACATTTTATTACGGTGGGTGCCTAATAGAGGGGCTCATGAGAAAGCAGGCAAGGAGCTGCGTTCCAAAATCAGCATATGGACAGCTAGGGATTAAACCCCATTAGGCTTTGAAATTTAAACTGCCAGATTTGTGTTAAAGTTCAGAGCACTGCATTTGGAAGGTGCAACCGGAATAGATGGCACTGATCCAGTCTGCCTGTCACACCGAGGGCCACTCTGCTGGCAAGGAAGGCAACGGGCAAAATTGCACTCACCTGTCTCAGAAAGAGAACCGGGCGGCACACAACACAGCGTGGGGTCCAGGGGAAGAAGGCACTCCTCCTGGCTTTTTTGCAATGTCCCTGCCTCAGACCAAGCATCATCTCTCTCTTCTGTTTGCTTGTTTACAAACGGGGTGATGGGGAGCATAACTCCAAAGGCCAGGAAGGTCTCGGCTCAAACGGATGCAGCCCAGCCCAACACTGTTCCAGGGTGAAAAGACGGTGCCACGGGTGGAGAGATGCGGGTGTGCCAGTGCGTGTGTGCATGGAGGGGGACTGTCTGTTTTTTTGCACCGGCTCATAATGAAGGGGGGCTTTGACACAATATGAAGGCCTGCATATGTGTGTGTGTGTGTGTGTGTGTGTGTGTGTGTGTGTGTGTGTGTGTGTGTGTGTGTGTGTGTGTGTGTGTNAGAGAGAGAGAGAGAGAGAGAAGGGGGCGGACAGGATGTTCTCAGGGCCCCAGTGAAAGATGCATACAAGGCAATGGCAAGGACATGGTTTATTTAAATAAATAACTAGACTAGAATTCCCAAGATGTTTCAAACGGAATGTTCTTCTTTCTTAGAAGAAACCAAGAATAATATTCAGTCCACACAATCTGTTAATGGGAAGCTTAAAATACAGAGCCCTTTTTTCACACCCCATGTTACAAAGCTATAAAAAAAGGTATTTGAAGCATGTTTTGAAAATCCTTCCTTGGGTTGTTGACAGCACAGCCTTGTAGGGCGGCTGCGGCAGTTAGACCAAGCTGTGACCCGAGGGAACAAGGCCCTTCTGCCCAAAGGATGTGCTCCCCCTCCCAAATCAAGACCCTCCTGTTGGCCCATGAATAAGGAGGGAATCCCCACACACACACTGCCCGTTGCCCAGTGACAGACTCCCATTCATGCTGGTTTGGAAAGGACAAGATCTGTCGTCCAGAGAGAACAGCTGTGAAGGAATCCCATGAGAAACGATGGCCTTCTCAGTTGCCCAACAGCAAGAAAGGAGCAGGCCGCTGGCCAGGAAGAGACAGGGGAGCCCACAGGGTCAACAGGTGCACACAGAAGCCCTGGGTGCAAAGCCAGGAAGGCTTCAGGATGGCCAACCTGCTGCCTGTCACCTGTGGCCCAGCCGTCTCCTGAGACAGGTGGGCACAAAGGACCTGCCGGCCTGGGAGCCCCTCCCTGAGTGAGCAGCCACTGCTCCCAAGAAGGCAAGGCTGGCACCCTCTGGCAGAACGGGGATCCTGCCAGGTCCCTCTGCGGTTGTCCAGCCGGGTGTGGAGCCAGGAGGTTTTCTTAGAGACGGGATGTTTTGTTCTGAAGCATCAAAGAGGACAGACTGATCAGGGGAACAATGGGTGCCACGGAGGCTCCAGGGGGAGAGAGGGAGGAACAATACTGGAGCCAGTCCTGGGTTTCTTCCCGGGTGGGCCTCGTGCCAGGCCACGGGGCAGAAGCAGCCACGAGGTCCACCTGCTTAGCAAAAGTGGAGGCAAACAGCAAGGGAGCCGACGCCTCTGGCAAGGCAGGAGGGCGACCCTTCTTCCCACTCCCTCCCAACCCCTTGTGACCCTGGCTCCCTG